TGTTTGCTAATTCTCAAGTGAGCTGGAATAAAGGTGGTGTTTCCACGTCTCACCTCGTGGCGGATGTAGGATTCATTGAGGAAGTCTTTGTACCGCGTCCGCAGATACTGACCCAGCTCATACTGCTGCCTCATCCCGACCTTTTAACACAAACCAGACATTTAGAACCATCAGAAATCTAATCAATATACTCATTTAACTGTAGTTCTAGAGTCGCCTGACTTATTGTCACCAGATACCGTCATGGGAAAAGTTTGATAGGAACCGGTTACATTTACTCACGTTCACTTGAGGAACTTTTGAAAAAAAAAAAAAAATACTTTTTGGAGTATTTTTACTATGCTAAACCTTTCACTTTTACTTGAGTAAAATTGACTCTCTAGTACCCACAGTGAGTAACTTTGCTGAATGAAGAACAAGCTTGTTATAACCTGCAGGTTTTGTCAAAGTTTCATAAACTTTATATTGAAAGAAATTGATTTTGAATATTGCCTGATTTTGTTGCTTTGTAATTATGTTATTTATTTGAATTATCTTAATTTTTTATCAAATTTCCACAACATTTACAGTTTGGTCCATCTCATGATGTAATTTTTAAATATGAAATGTTTTTAAATATTAAATGTTAAAGATGTTTTGATCAGTTGCTCAGTATCTGAGTAACCTTTTTACTCTTACTTGAGTAATTTTTTGGGTGGCTACGTTTTACTTTTGCTTGACTAAAAATATGTTGAAGTGGTTCTACTCTTACTTGAGTACAGATTTTGGGTACTTCACCCATCTCTGGTTAAGGGCTAATCTGGAGAGAGGAGTTGTAGAGAGAGCAAAACTTAAAGCTATTTTACCTGCGTTAGCTGTCCAAAGCCCTGAGGCCAGGCGCTTTCTTGGTGAGGGTCAGTAGGAAAGGCTGTCGCTGGTGACCTGTCACCATGTCGAAACAACTGGAGGAAGGAGGAGAGAAAAGAGACCAAATGGTCAAAAGCAGGACATCCTCTCTGACTGGTAAAAGACACTCAACTCTTTTCCAGCTCACTTACTTATGCATTTATTTTTTATAGCTATGAATATGTGTTCCTGACAGTCATAGTTAGTAAGAAACAAAGATTCCCATAAAATTCCAGAGGAAATGAATGCAGGTCATTTCTGACCCACTTGTGGAAGAATGGGGTAGTAACTGAAAACATGCTATTTCTTAAAATGTTAAAGGGGTTAGTTAAAAAAAATCAATTGCATGATATCAGTAACATGTTTTTTGAGGAATACCTTGAATATGAACTGATGAAAACTTATTACAAAGATATTGCAAAAAGATCACCTCAGTGGGTCAAAAAAGACCCACTTGCGCATCAGAGGGTTAAAAAAACGTCATCTAAAAAATGGTTTATTTTCGAGCTGAATTAAGAGTGCGTCAAAGATTTCACAACACTAAAAAAGTTGCATAACTTTTGAGTTATGCAGCTCAAAAGTTATGGAACTTTTGATATAAGTTGAAATATGCGCAAATGAAAGTTTTTAACACATTTTGAAGGCAATTTTGTAGAATTCAGCCATAGCGGTGCAGAAATAAACAGCTTCTGTAGCGTTATAGCAAACATTATTGACACTCACCACTGTAGCATAAATTAGCTGCCTTTCAGCAATAACTTGCTCACATGCAGAAGCCAAGAAGACAAGAAAGAGAGCCGCCGCAGACACCATGTTTCCTCCGCTGGGGGTTCGGCTCTGTTACAGCCGCGCAGAGTCCTGCTCCGACTTAGAGAAAGGTAAGCTAGCCGTTACTAGCAATCCAAACGGAAGTGACAGTAAAAACTAAAACACGTCACGTGAATAAATTGTAACAATAAAAAGTCATTGACCAAAAAATTTTAATAGTGAGATAGTGCAACATGAATTATTTCGAATAACATTTTAAGATCTTGCACGATGAAAGGTAATTACACTTTGCTTATCACACTTATTGATTTGAAAAACACAAACCGGAAGTGTTTTCTTATTTGTCTTCCGCTTTCCGCTTTAAATTCGTCTACGTATATAATATAAATATTACTTAATAGTGGTATGTTATTTACAAATTTAAAAATATTATTTAGTAATTTAGTAATAATTATCATTGAATAATTTTATAATGTTATATTAATCTCCCGATTATCATTACTATTATAGACATTAAAGGTGCTTGAAAACCCCACCAACTAAGTCTTGCAAGAATATTTTACGCTGTCTTATTTATTTTTTACTGTTGGATCTACGAGAGCACCAATCCATATTAATACATTTTTAAATATTAGTAAAAGTGTGCAGCGTTGTGCAGCTGGTGTTCTGATCAACCCTGTTTAAAATGTGCATGTTTTTAAGAGCGGTATTTGTGGTGCAGTGAAGACAGTATATTTATCTAAAAAAAATAACCAAAATAACGTTTTGGACATATATTTTTATTGTCACTTATATAATTATCGTTATCACAATAAATCATAAAATAGAGGATACAATTTTAAATTCAATATCGAGTAGATTTTTAAATTAAAGGTGTTTTCTATATTTTTCCCCTAGATGTCAGTATTGCCACAAGATGAAGTCTGGATGATGGGTGAGATTTCCCCCCCCCGCCCCACTTTTTCTCTCTTTTTTCCTTTTTTTTTTTTACCAAAATTTTAAATCTAAGTCCAGATAGCACAAAATGAGTGAAACAACATTGAAAGAATGACAGGCAGAGAAATAGAAATAACGTTAAAGGCTGGCATTGAAACGAAATTGAAAGTGGTTGGTGACTTGTATGTTGAATCAAGGTTAGGGTTTCAACCATGACTGACACTATATTAATGTTGATTCAACCATAATCTGTACGTCAATTTACATGCATATGCATATTTGTGTTGATTTTACATAGAATCAATGTGGGTGATTCAATGTAAAATTGGGTGGGTGGGTCGGAGGAGGTTTGGGGGGGAATACGGGGATATGATGAGATGAGGAGGGGTGCAACAAACTGCATACTTGGATTCAAATTGATTACACTCCGGTCCTCAAGGCGAACTGACCTGCATGTTTTTAGTTCAGCAAAACCCTGTCAATCAGCCATCAATGAAAACCATGTGTGCTGAATTATGGAAATATTTAAAACTTGCAGGGCAGTGCTTGGAGGAACAGTGTTGAAAAACACTAGACTATGCATTGGCATGTCAATCAATAGAGTTCAACCAGAAAACAACATTGATTTAAAGACATATTTACAATATTAGTTAATTGGCTAGAAGTGGCTGGTTGAAGGTTTATCCACCATCAGTCGTCAACTTTTGTGATGATAATTCAACGTTGAATCAACATCGTTTGCTAACAAGCCAACAGTGAAGTGGTTGTGTGTTTGGGACATCCCACTCTTGTAAATAGCAGGGGTGGACCGCTCTACTCCTTGTAGTAAGTTATAGATGTTTGTGTCAATATATCACACACCAACAGTCAGTAAGAAATGTATGAACAAGTAAGAAGCAAAACAGCCGACATTGATTCAACATTGATCAGACGT